AGGCGTCTTGTTCAGCGTGCTGTCAAACCTACACTAGCAAGGAGATCGGGCTGAAACTATAGCTACAAGCTATCCAAGGATGGTACTATAGAATGTCACCTCAAGGTAGGCCTAGTGGCGTCATCTCTTGGTTAGGCCGGAAACTTATCAATCCACCCTCGTATTTTGAATCACATCGACATTTAAGTATTAGCAAAATAGGATGATTAGTAGGAGTCCATTAGTTTTGCAATGCATTAGGCCAAACGATCATCTCTTACGGACACACCTTCTTTTTCATCATAATAAGACAAATACTAACAGCTACAACGCTAGAAGGATTTTATTCTTTAGTTCTTTCGTGGGTTAATCAACTCATATTGTGCAAACGAAATTTAGAAATACCTTTTCTCACTTCTACATTGCAATATGATAATAAAACTAGATCAAAAAAAGCGTGAAGATGCCGTGGGAAGAAGATGGCACTCACGCTACGTTATGTTGAAGTAACAATTAGAAATATGCATATCTTATCGAGACACTTGTTTTTTGTTTTAATAACACTCAACAGTCAACGAGGCAAGAATGTGTAAGGTATCTACAGGTACATGGTTGAAATTGTAAGCTGGTATTTCACGATGGTTACCCTGACTTTTGATAGGCGAAAGGAGGAGAGTAGTAAAAATAATTGCGACGGGTAATATCGTGATTCGTGAGAATATAATAATGCGAACACACCTCGTCGTCTTCGCTATTCTGTTGTCCCTCGACAAGCGGCAAAGGGTACCACGCCGCAGCACCGCAATAGACAGAAGGACGGCGATTTTGCAATAATGTAACAAATGCTAAACAAATATTTGTATGCATGTATGGTGTAAGTATCCAAAGCCTGCGAAAATTAAGCGCATGATGCGACTCAAACAATAAAACAGATGTTACTCTTACTCTGAAAATGAAAGTTGTGGTATTTTTAATAATTAAATTTGTAACTGAAATAATACTTATTAGGTATTGACCTTAAATCATGGTTTAATCAATGTTTTGCTAACTTTATTTGGACATCTTCAACGTTCTCTATTATTATATCTATTTAACGGCTTATTATTGCAGCATCGACTTTTTCTGAACCATAAAATTTTCCTCTAAAATAAATACATTTATTATTCGATGCTTGCAGCAATTTTCAGTAATTTTTATTATTCATTTCAGATCCGAAGCCTTGTGCTTCCCACACCTGTAGAATGTATTGTCCTCACGGCTTTGCCCTTGCTCCTGACGGCTGTCCTCTGTGTAAATGCCGCGATCCTTGCGAAAACATCAAATGCCCGAATTCCTTGGACTGTCAATTAGAAGAATTGGCTTGCGCTGACCCACCGTGTCCGCCAGTCCCAACATGTAAGTCTTGTCTTTATTGGCCCAATACATAATTTTAAGCATACCTACGAGGGTGGATTGATAAGTTTCCGGCCTGACCAAGAAAAACAAGGTTTTTAAAAATTTTTTTTTTAATTTCTCAACATAATCTCCTCCAAGGCTGATACATTTCTCATAGCGGTGTTCCAGTCTATTAATGCCATCTCTATAGACTGATTCGTCAAGCTCCTCAAAATAACCATTTACAGCTTCGATTACTTCTTCATTGTCCGCAAATCTCTTACCGCCAAGCCATTTTTTGAGATTAGGGAACAGAAAATAGTCACTCGGGGCTAGGTCTGGAGAGTAAGGAGGGTGCGGCATCAATTCAAACTTTAGATCGTTGATTTTAGCCGTCGCAACGATTGACGTGTGCGCTGGTGCGTTATCGTGATGAAACAAGATTTTTTTCTTCGCCAGATGAGGTCGTTTAATTTTCACCTCGTGGCTCAAACGTTGCAATAAGTCTGCGTAGTATTGACCAGTGATAGTATTACCCTTTGCAAGGTAATCAATGTATATAATACCTCTTGCATCCCAAAAAACAGTAGCCATAACCTTGTTCGCCGAAAAAATTGTTTTTGCCTTCTTTGGAGTTGGTTCCCCTGGTCCAATCCACTGTTTAGACTGTTCTTTGGTTTCAGGAGTGTAGTGGTGGACCCACGTTTCGTCAACGGTTACGAATCGACGCAAAAATTCGCTTGGATTACGCTTATACAATGACAAATTTGCGGTAGAAATGTTTTTTCGAATCAATTTTTGGTCGACTGTTAGCAAACGCGGCACCCATCTTGCACAGAGCTTTTCCATATGCAAATGTTGGTGCAAAATATGTTGCACACGTTCATATGACATCTTACAGGTCTCAGCTATCTCACGCACTTTCAATCTGCGGTCTCCCAGCACTATTTGATGAATTTTTTCGATCATATCTGGAGTTGTGACCTCAACGGGGCGTCCTGAGCGAGGCCCATCAGAGGTGCTCACACGACCCTTTTTAAACTCGGAAACCCACTGCTTAACGGTTGAATATGACGGGGAGGATGTCCCCAGTGTTGAGTCCATCTCTTTTTTAATTTCCTTCGGCGTTAACCCCTTCAAATAAAAGTATTTGATGACAGCACGATTTTCCTGCTTTTCCATTTTTACGAAAACCACAGAGGCGTCTTGTTCAGCGTGCTGTCAAACCTACACTAGCAAGGAGATCGGGCTGAAACTATAGCTACAAGCTATCCAAGGATGGTACTATAGAATGTCACCTCAAGGTAGGCCTAGTGGCGTCATCTCTTGGTTAGGCCGAAAACTTATCAATCCACCCTCGTATTTTGAATCACATCGACATTTAAGTATTAGCAAAATAGGATGATTAGTAGGAGTCCATTAGTTTTGCAATGCATTAGGCCAAACGATCATCTCTTACGGACACACCTTCTTTTTCATCATAATAAGACAAATACTAACAGCTACAACGCTAGAAGGATTTTATTCTTTAGTTCTTTCGTGGGTTAATCAACTCATATTGTGCAAACGAAATTTAGAAATACCTTTTCTCACTTCTACATTGCAATATGATAATAAAACTAGATCAAAAAAAGCGTGAAGATGCCGTGGGAAGAAGATGGCACTCACGCTACGTTATGTTGAAGTAACAATTAGAAATATGCATATCTTATCGAGACACTTGTTTTTTGTTTTAATAACACTCAACAGTCAACGAGGCAAGAATGTGTAAGGTATCTACAGGTACATGGTTGAAATTGTAAGCTGGTATTTCACGATGGTTACCCTGACTTTTGATAGGCGAAAGGAGGAGAGTAGTAAAAATAATTGCGACGGGTAATATCGTGATTCGTGAGAATATAATAATGCGAACACACCTCGTCGTCTTCGCTATTCTGTTGTCCCTCGACAAGCGGCAAAGGGTACCACGCCGCAGCACCGCAATAGACAGAAGGACGGCGATTTTGCAATAATGTAACAAATGCTAAACAAATATTTGTATGCATGTATGGTGTAAGTATCCAAAGCCTGCGAAAATTAAGCGCATGATGCGACTCAAACAATAAAACAGATGTTACTCTTACTCTGAAAATGAAAGTTGTGGTATTTTTAATAATTAAATTTGTAACTGAAATAATACTTATTAGGTATTGACCTTAAATCATGGTTTAATCAATGTTTTGCTAACTTTATTTGGACATCTTCAACGTTCTCTATTATTATATCTATTTAACGGCTTATTATTGCAGCATCGACTTTTTCTGAACCATAAAATTTTCCTCTAAAATAAATACATAATAGATCTTTCAACATCTGACTAATTACTAGATCAGCTTTAAAATCATTGAAGATTATGGATCTGCTAGGTTACGTTAGTTTCATGATTAGGGTTCCGCACCTCGAAAGGAAAACAGGAACCCTTATAAGATCACTTCGTTGTCCGACTGTCTGTTTTAGTAAAGACTCGATTTCTGTGACAAATGAAGTACTTAATGTAATACAATTTTTTTAAATTTTGATTTCAAGCAACGAAAGTTCGAAAATGTCACTTTGATCATGTTGTTGTTGTTCATTTCTAGATTTAGTCGCTTACTCCAAAAGTTGGATCTCGAACGCAACGAGACGTCCAATACCAGAATTGCTTGACAAAATAAGATCAATAATATGCTGTTTTCTTCGAACAAAACATTCTTTGTTCCTATACCTGGATAACACATAACTAATCTTCTTTTTGATATTTTTACTTCTTTTAAGTATCTTACACAATTTTTTTCGTTAAATGGTCAATTTATGCGTTGGAAGACAAGTAAGTTCCAGAGTTTTCATAACTCTCATAACTATCGACATTATTTTTTTTTAACCTCATGACAAACTCACATGTATGTCGGAAAATTTCAGCATTTAAGATAATTATTGTGTAAAATATTTTCGGATTCGTTTATAAATAATATTAATTCCAATGACTTCGCATTTTTTATATTTTTCTTATTGATTTTTGTTTATAAATTAAAGCGTATTTCGGTAAGTGTAGTTTAATCTATATTTAAACAATAACAATGATATGTAGTGTGTAGTTCAAATGAAGTTAGTCTAGAATCTAAAACTGCAAAAAAATTAGTTAAACCTAAAATATCTTAAAATCTAAATCCTAGAAGTATAGATTTTTTCGATATTGTTGATTTAAAGGACGATACTTCCCGATGGTGTAAACAATTTTAAAAGTAACAAAATGTGAAAATAAAAGTAAAAAATTTCTGCTCAGAAGAATTATCAAAAATAACGTATGTATCACATTAAATGAGCAACACAAAATAAATACGCAAGACCAAAACAAGACTATCCAGCAGGACTAAGATCCAGATTAAAACTAGAAGTATTCGAGTAAGACCAAACGAAAAACCGAATAAGCAAGATTAAGACCAATAATAATATCAAGACTAGAACAGTCTTGGTCTCGGTCTTTGTCTTGCTTTGCTCATCACTGGTTAAACGCACATTAATAGTCGTGGTATTTCTCAATTAAATTGCCCATGCACTATCCGTGTCTGTCTGTCCTCTGTCGCCTTAAATATCAGTGAAAGTGAGGAAGAATAGAATAGAAAACCGTACAGCGAAGAAGGTTAATAAGTGGGCACATCCCCAAGGTTTTTTTTTTTTTTTCGACATTTAAAAAGAATAGATTTTACGACAACTATTTACACATGCAGTCTACGACTTTTGTACCAAACAGACAGACGTCGCTTTCACACTTAACATTTGCAAATAGGATAATCTATAAACAAGCGATACCCAACGTTATCGATTTCGAAATAAGGATGTGTAAAACTATCTATCTGACTGTACGTATAGTTTTCATAATCAGCATAGCTATTCGGTTTGGGTTAACGAGATAGAAATGCTGGGTCAGATCTTAGACTGTTATTTATTGTTATTTAATATGCTTACAGCAACGTCCGTATTATGCATGTGAATATTGTACACATTATGTAGTTTTGAGGATAAGATTATATCTTATGAGATGTAATATCTGCTCAGCATCTGCAAATTTGGTTCAACCAGGAAGTGATTATATTTTGCTTAATAATGAGTGCTGCATACTACGGTTTCACGTTTTGAATTCCGATCTAGCATAAAAAAGTTAATTATTTTAATAACAGAATAACTTTCATCAATTTTAAGTACCTATACTTTTGAATTTCATGAATAAGAAACATATGTTACTCTGTTATTATTGGCTATGTCTCTCAGCGTTAGGAAATTCAATAATATTTTAGAAAAATTCGACGAAGTTTGCAATGATTTTTATTTTGTAAACTTTAATAAATGTCATAATAAACATTATCTGATTCTTGTACGTTACAAATAGATAATATTTGCTTTTCGTCAGTTTTCCTAATTTACAAATATATTTAAACTTTTCAGTTATAGACTATAGATTATAGAAATTAAAATTCCATACTAATCTTCGCATTTCCCTAAAACTGGAACAACCCACATCCTTAACTATTTGCGAACAGTAATCTAATCTAGGTCTACCTCTACCCCTCCTAATTTCTGTTTCTGCCTCTAATATGTCTCTGACTAGACCTTCATGCCTGAGAAGGTGTCCTACCAACCTATCTCGCCTATTTTTTATTGACTTTCATAGAGTCCTCTGTTCTCCTATTCTTTCCAATACCTCTTCATTTCTAACCTTTT